GTGATTAACCCGTGCTTTTTGCTCCGGGAAGCCCACGTCTGAGCCCCAGCGGGCTTCCGTGGCATGAATCAGTAGCCTTTTGAACAGAGGAGATAGACATGTTAATTATTTTGTTTCGCCCTGTCAGGGTTTGAGGGAGTCCTTTTGGGCGGAAAGGTGTGTTGGTTGATTCTGCCCGGCATTGCTCAGCTCTTCCCCTGCACACAGATTGCGGTGTGGGGATGAGCTGCATGCTACAGGAGAGAGGAGGAAAAAAGGGGGGGGGGGGGGGGGGTCGTGTGAGAAGAAGCTTGCTCTGAAATATTTCTTCAAATGGAAAATGGGGAAAATTTTTTTTACACTCAGACTTTGTCTAGAATGAGCCCCTTGACACCTGTGAAAACTTCAGAAGCGTTTTGGGATTGCTGCCCGTTTGTGCTTCACTATTTTCCCAGTAGCACTGGTATAAAGTATTCCATTAAAAGCCAATGTCTCTACATCAGAATGAGTTGGTGGCATTGGTACACTTTATTTTATTTTGATTTGTTGTTCCCCCTCAAATCTTGTTGAGCTGTAGGAAATGTCAGACCAAGTATGTAATATCAACTTAAACATGGCACTGAATATACTCTGCAAGTCACGGTAGTAAATGCAAGTTTTGAACAACAACTAGATGGAAGAACCCATGAACAGCAATGATTCGAAAAAATCCAGTACACACATCTAGTTCAAGTCAAGGAAACCCTGAAAATGAGGCCCTAAGGATTATTCGTCTTCTCTCCTTTAATAGATGCTTCTGAATTCTGCTTATTGAAAGAAATAAATTTTAATTTAGGCATACAAGCACTTGCAAAGTGTATGTATGACAGAGCTGAAACCAGGTGAGGAATTGTTATATTGTTTGAAGGTCTTGGAGGATGCTCTGAACTTGCGGAGGTGAAGGTTTTTAAAAATTCTTGGAAGTGCTTGGAAAATCCACTGTAGTATTTTTAAGTTTAAATTATTTTGATGGTTAGAAATGTCTGCTTCCTTTGAACTGTTCTTTTCAGCTTAATTTAAAAATATATAGAAACCATGGGGAGGAAAATCAGTTTCTCTATGGCAAGGTTAGATAAAGAGGCGTTTATAACAGGCCCATGTCCGTGACCAAAGGTTCTGCGAGATCTATTTTTAGCTTGGAGGTGTTTTCCTCCTGGTCTTCACACCCCTCACCCCGCCCCCTCCCCCCAAAAAAAAGAAAAAAAAAAGGAGCTAGCAGTAAACCCCTGAGTCTCTCCGGCAGCAGAGTGCAGTTCCCGTGTGCAGCAGAGGATGGCCTTGTTGGGCAGCGCAGCACATTTCTTGCTGTCCCAGTCACACTGCCTGCCTCAGTACTGTATTCATGGTACAAATGGGATCGGTCCCTATGTACACCGGCCTGCAAGGAGTCCCATTATTTGTGACAGGCACCTCTCCCTGTCCAGCCGGCTCAGGACAGTGGACGAGCACTGCTGAGCATCCCTGCTGCCACCCCAGGTCACCTTCCTCCCTGAAATTTGTGGGAAACAAAGCATGGTCCCTGGCCTGCAAGTCTGTAGATTTTCAATCAAATTGCAGCTGCCATGGTTTGCATTTGTTGTGGTGCTTTTCCTCAGATAAATTTAGTTCTGAAATAAAGCTTTAAATCCCATACCCCAAGGCATGGACAATTTGAGCTGTTTGTTGCTCAATGCAAATATGGAAATGGCTGAAGTGTAGCTCTGTGTGTATATGCACACACACAGAGGCAAACAAATGTATTCATAATAAAAAACCCCATACGAGTAGGCAGGGTTTAGCTGGAAAAAATCTGCCGGTACTTGCAATAGCAACATTAAATGATGCTCCCTGTTAGAATCTAGTATTACAAGGAGAGACCAGTTTGAAATTGGATTTGATTCTGGACACAGGAGAGAGGGTAGTTTGTAATGTGTTGTGTTATTACCCCAAACTAAACTCAGAGGCAGCAAAATTAATTCATTGGTATACACTTCAATTTTTGTTAACAATGTATAGAGTACTGGAAGGTAGCTCATTTACTTGTGTCCTTTATGTTCTCCAAGCTTTCCTGGGACTCTAGATAGAGATATATATGTATATATTTATATATTTTTTCATTCCTGGGTTTGATTGCTGATGACAGATGTGACTTGTGTTCTCCACTTCTATTAAGTAGGAGGGCTTTTTTATGCATAATATTTCTTACATTTAGAAAAGGTTGTAAGCTAAACACAGGAAGAACTATTTGACTAGGTACGTACCTCCTTAAATTTGGACCTCTGCACACACATAAAAATTAAGTCTTTTCAGGACCTTATAAAAGCAGTGAGGTGAGACAGGGTTAAATACTGTGGTTCATCCTGGAAAGTCTGGGAATGCATAGTGTTTTCCAGTAAATACTGTTCTACTGACCTCTCCACCCACCCTTGTGTCATGAGTGTGACTTGCTGCTGTTCCTAAAGGTATATGCTCTGCAATCCCAGCGGCCCTTTTGGAGAGCAGGTAGTTATTCATGTCGTAGCTAGGTCTCATTAATTATTTGCTGTCTATGTAAAGCACTCTCCAATTATACTACCAGATACTTGTTGTTAAGCTACATTTATCTTTGCCTTCATTGTGCTTTTTCCTTAGCAAATTCCCTTGCATCCTTTAGAGTTGCCATTTGTTCCTTGATGCCTGAAATTTTACAATCTTCTGTCCTGATTTTTCCCTGAACATCTTTGTATCATAAGTTATAGGTATTCCTTGACTTTCCATTCTTCTCCCTGACTACGTCGCCATAGCTGCAACAGTAAGGAAAGCCAGCATGACACATAGTTTAAGAAAGACTCCTTTTTTTTCTTTTTTTCTGGTGGAATTTTAATTTTCTAAAACATCAATTGCAATGCCGTCTCTATAAATCTTGTTTTCTTTTCCCATAGGATTTGCAAATAGAACGAGAGAGGACTGTGTATAATATTTCTGGCGGCTGTACAGCCCTTGTGGTGATGTATTTATTGGGGAAGCTTTACGTGGCAAATGCTGGTGATAGCAGGTGAGTAAATATGGTGTCTCCCCAACTATTCCTTCACCCCAAACTCCCCAGAGCTGGTGTTATCAAGTTCCTTAGTTGCAAACAGTATCACAAGAGGATTCTATTTCTTGGCTGGGGACACTGAACGGTTCTCATGGAAATTAATGCAAATGGCAGTGACAGGCTTCCGGTATCGTGTCGAGTGGTGGTTGCTGACAACACTTCTGGCCCTGTAGCAGTTTCTGAATGACTTGATGGTTGCAGAAAAGTGGAAAGACACTCAAGAGCCATTGGAACAGAAGAGATGTTGGGTGTGTAGTAGAATTCTGTGTTGAACACTGACAAAGTGACTGCATTTGGAACAGCTGGTAGGGCTGGACTGGCTCAGTAGTAAGTCCTGTGGCTCCTATTATCAGCTTTAGTCTTGGAAGGCCACCTGGTTCTCAGATTTTAATGTAACTCAAAGTAATAATCTGTAAGCACACAACTGCTGCTACTGCAATAGGGAGGAGGGGAGGGAGAGGGGCTGTCACAGGTTAGGATTTTTACTATGTCCTCTTCTAGCTTTCATATTTGTCCGTTTTTCAGAACTGAATCCTTGGTTCATGAGTTGTTGCTTTGTTATATTTGGAAGTTGGATGCTTGAAGACTCATGATGAGAAGTTTGTCTTCTGATTTAGCTAAAGCTAGGACCATACTGGAAATCTCTCATGTGCGTTCTTTTCCTCTCTCTCACTATCTATCTATACCACCATCAGAGAGAGACAATGAGGCTGTTCTTGCAGGACTTCAGACCTTCACATGTTTCTTTTGGCAATGGTCTGCATAAACAGGGCAGGGAGAACTGTTCCCCACATGATACAGACTGCTGTTGTGTTCTCTTAGTTAGCAGCTGAGAAATTTAAGTCTGCAGAGGTACTGAACTACGTTGTCTTCAGGTGAAGACTGCTATGGTTATTCATTTCTATTTGAGGTTTGCACACACAGTTCATGTTTGTACCGTGTGTGCACAATGTATTTACAGAGAACAGTCAAACGCAAAATGTTTTCTAGTTTAAACCTAACATTTTTATTGCCTCTTGCTGCTCTAAACTGTGTAGAAAGTCAGAAAAGTCCTTTGTGCATAAAGTTCCTATTCTTTTCATGTTGGTGATTCTTCTTAATATGTTGATTTGCTGTTTATGTTGCAAATTGTTCACCCAGTTCATCTTATCAAGTGATATATTTGAATCTTCTTTGCGTCAAATGAATCCTCACAGAGAGTAGCTGCAAACGTGTTTGAGTAGACCACCTATCTAGCCATCAGAACCACTAGCTGCACTCAGTTTGATCTCTTTTGCCATTAAATTAGAAATAATCATGTTTTCCTGTGCTATTATACTTGAAGTACAGTTGAGTCTCTTCCGTTGGGTTGGCTAAACTGTTTTGTTGTCTCTTAAAAGTGTGCTGTGTAAAATTGGCCATGCAGGACATACTTCTGAGTAGTTGAGAGATCTTAAATGACTGGCTACTTCCAGTTCCCCCAGGATTCCTCCTCTGCTTCCTGAGAGCAGCCTCAGCTCCATTGCAGTCTCTGACACCCAATGGGAAAAACTAGTTGGTGGTAATCTGGAATTAACCCAAGGGTCCACTGTAGTTAAAGCCACTAAGTCTTCAATAGGCTTTGAATATTCATCAAAACCCATCAAAAGTGTCTCTTCAGAAAGGCAGGAAGAGCAGGAATTACAAGAGAAGCCATTGGCAAGATTGCGTCTTGCTTAAACCAGGACTCAAATTTTTCTACTCATTCCTTGCATCTTGTAGTTAACAAGATCTCTGTAGATTCAAAATAGTTTGGTTTTGCACTTTCCAAATTGACTTCATGGAAACCTTCCTCATGCTGAGGAGAATTCTCTGGATTCCCAAAATCTTTCACTTTTTCAAATAAACCCACTTCCAGATTTTCCCAGCTCAACCAAGTAAAAGCTTTGAAGTGCAGAAGGTCAGTTGATCTGGGCCTCTCTCCCACCAAATCCCCACTTCCCAAGTTTCAGAAAAGGAGAAAAGCAGCTCTTGCAAACCAGCCAAGTTGCTCCTCATCACTGAAAGGGCATTTTAGGACTTAGAAAAGCAGCTCTGAGGTTGTCTACCTACTGCCAGGGTGCACAGTGCATTCCTGTATTTTTAAGAGCACAGTCACATAGCCAAGAAGTTTTATTTTCGTTAGTTGGGAAAACATGTTTCTTTTTTGCTGTCTCATGCCTTGCATGGTCAATTTTGCAGTTTGTACAGATCCAGATGAGGGCGGTGAGAAATACAGTAAGGAAACTACTTTAAAAAAATGTTTGTCTGCTCTTGAGAATAAGGGTGGTGTTTGTTTTTTCACCCAAACAGGGGACTAGTGCTTGTTGCTGTTGGAACTAGATGCCAAAACCCAGTTCTTCAGTCAAGCTTTAATTTCTTTTGGTTTACCTACTCATTTGTGCCTCTTCTCTGTCCTCCTTCTCCCCTCTCCGCTCCCCCACTGGAAAAAGCCTGCAAATAAATCGAGCTACATTTCCCACCGACTAGAGTCTGTGAGAGGAGGTTTTGTGCTGCAGGGGTGGGAAATAAACATTTTGGGTTCACGCAAACCTCATTTGTTCTGCCTCTGCCCAGAAGAGGGTTAGCTCTTTTAATTCCAGGCAACTTCAAAACAGTAGAAGTTTTTAAAGGTGGGTTTTGAACAGCCTCTGCTGTCACAGGACCAAGGTATGTGCAACAAACTGTTACTATCATAATGAGACTAAGGAAACGCCGAGTGTGAGACTTGAATAATAATGTGCTATGTGATGCCAGCTACACCTCTAGACCTATGTCTGTGGTATTCAGTTTAACCACCAAAGCTTCCCAAATCTAATAATTTCATGCCATGTACCCTGGCAGTGTTGTATAGCAGCTGTCCTTTTGTAGTTGATGTGTAATTACATCATGAAAGACTTTAATTACCATATTACTAAATTACCAGCCAGCAATCCTTTCAGGTTCAGCCCTAGCTTGCTTCTGTATGGACTGTTAGGCTTCTCCAAGCTGAACACTTTCGGTTGGTGCAAAAGGGAAGAAAAATTGTGCTAATTGTAGGTTTTGTTATGAACTATTATTGAGCATGATGTTATGGCATCACTAATGTCAATGATATAATTAAACTTCTGCTAACGATGCAATCACAGTTCTGTAATAATTATACATTAACTGCACATGATACCAGAACCCTACTAAAAATGAGGTGATGTATTCAGAGCCTGATAAAAACAACTTGGAGGGAGCTGCTTTCATTCTCTAGTGGTTTGTCTGATCATTCTTGGACTCTGCCATAAATATACCTACTTGTACAGTCAAAATTCATGTCTGAATATTGGCCAGAGCTTTTTTCTAATGTTTCTCTCTCTGTTTCTCTCTCTCTCCCTCTACCTCTCAGTGGTTAGCATTGTCAGTGCAAGGTTATCTAATTAGGGACTGATAGAGCTATAGTCAGCTGTCCAATATATAGTGCTTTTCTGGTGAGCATTGATGCACTGTGCTTTACTTACCAGTTTGACATATACGCTATGGTAACTAGGGCAGGGTCTGCTTTTTTTTAATAAGGAATAGTAAATCTTCTCTGCTCATTCTTTTAAATAGTATTGTTCAATTCTATATTGCTAAAGTGACTTTTACTTCTAAACTGCCATAACATGCCTTGTTAATCTTGGTTCTTTTTAGGTTTATGCTCTTTATCAGGATGTTGTTTTATAGCTAGTGATGAAGCAGTAGTAAAACAGGGTCTTAATGTTTTTACTGATTACTGCCCAATTATTGTATAGCCTCATGCAACATAATATTTGCCCAATATCACTACAGTGACTGTAGTGCCGTATGATCATATTAACTATCTTTGGTCCAAGTGTTCTTCTGGCTTTCATATTGTCTGGCTAAGGAGCTGCTTGGAGACTGCAGGCATTGCCATTTTGTGCTGTGCTTGGAGCCATGTAGGGTACCTTTGCTTTTTATCATTATACAAGAAGCAGAACACCACAAGTTGATTTTATTTTTCCATAAGCCCTGAAACACTCACTAAATCTTGGTCTTTTTTGATTTATTGGCAGAACACGGGATCAAAGCAAAGAGCCTGATGTTTTAGAGGCTTCACAGACTTGCAGGGTCACTGGATTTTTTTTGCTTTGCTTCACTAGCTTTTTTTTTTTTTTTTTTAATTATCTTTTTGCCTCCTGGCTTTTGCTCCCTGTGCTTTTGTTTTCAGGGCATATTCACCCTCTGCTTGAATATATATTCTCATATTCAGAATAGATTTTCTCCTCCATTTTGCAAGTGTAGAATTAATGCTAAGGCATTTGGGATTGTTAAATGGTCAGAGCTGGTTGAGTGAATGTTTTTGTGGCACTTCCGTGTTGGTCCAGGTTAAGCAACATCATTGGTGCCTCAGGTGCCCAGCTGTGGGAGAGTGTGTTTATAACACTGACTTCTCCTGGTGTAATAAAATAGTGGATTGAAAATTGAATTCTACTTTGTTTACTGTTTCACTTCTTTCTGGATTTGCTGATTGTTTTGAATCTCACTACATTTATACTTCCTCTTCTTTTGTGTCATGGTGCTTGTCAGCTGCTTCCCTTGTGCATAGTTCTCATTGTAGGAAGTCAAATTTGGGGTATTAATCTGCTTTTATGAAGCAAATGAGAGGGGCATGGAAACGGCCACACATCTGCTGACTGGTACTGTAGCTTAAATAAAATTTCTGAGAAATCAGAATTGATGATTCTGACCCATTTTTGTGGTTCATGGTATCTGACCTCTTCTTCAAGGCAGTCCAGTGGGGTGATTTTTGCCAGACGTGCTAACACTGTGTAAGGGTGGAAACCAAAAAGTGTTCTAACATACTACTATTGTAGAGCTAGTTTGCTTTAGTCTTTGGTTTGCAGGATTTTTAAGAAATTTAATTTTCTGATTTTCTTAACTACCCGTCTTCCAGTCTAAATGGTGTCTATTTTCCCTGTTTTCCTTGAGTG